CTTTTTTGGTCCTAGACAGTCCGTCTGTGTGTCTGTCTGTGAACAACGCTAGCGGTTAAACCGTTCAGCCGATTTTCTCCCTAATTGATATTCATGTATGCACGTGGCTAATGTCGCGGCCCCTTAAATTTGAAATCGATACATTAATTTTAGGGGGGGTACTTTATATTAAAAACCCTTGGGACATTTTCAAAAAATGACTACAAAAAAATGTTTTGATTAAATTTGGTTGTCTGATAGCTTAATAAACATTTAAATAAATGATGTAGGTATGTTTTTCGTTGAAATCACTGATTTTTTTAAATTGCAAAAGTACATTTTTTGGTGTCTTCCTACAACTAAATATATATTGAATATTGCGTTTTTTTAGTTTCTTATAGTCGCATCAACAACTGAGGTCGTTACTTACTACTTTAAATGCACTTTTACAATAGTAATATGGTGACTTTACAATATATTCCAGTATATATAAATACGTGAAGACAGACATTATATGTATTTTTTATGTTACAGTATTAGTTTCCAATATCCATACTAGTATACATGTTACAATAACTAATTTATGGTCAGGTTCTAGTTCCAACTGTCTGGAAATACGTTCCCGAAGCACAGTAAATTCGCAGCGGGCGATTATTGTTGACACGAAATTACACAAAAAAAACTAATTTTCGAAAAATTCAACATGATATTTTTTATGAACACATTTCATGAAAGAACTAATGGTGCGGCAAAATGGCACATACGTTCTTTTTGTTTTGGAGTTGGTGGAGCTTTGGTCTCGGCTAGCTATTCAGCTCTCGTACATTTTGTTTATATTTTCTCAATTTTTCGGTTTCCAAATAGTACAATGGAATTATTAATTTACGAATATTAAAGAAGAGTAAAACCTCGTCCTATACGGAACTTTGTATTGAAAATTTACAGCTGTTTTGAAGAAAAGGTGTTTAAGCATTACCTTCAATTTTTCGAAATAGTGGCACCTCGAGTGGAGCTAGATTGACCGGGGAATGTCCATTTTGGAAAAAATCGTACGCACGCTTTAGGCGCCAGTATTGTTCACAGACTGACAGACGGACAGACGTTTTGAAAACAACACTTTTTGGATATTATGGGTCCCCAAAACGTGAATTTTCGTTGAAATCTCAAAATCCATTTTCCATAGTATTACTTAACTTTCTCAATACTACGTTTATTGCTCCATATACACGAATGTATACAGGAAAGTAATGTATACATTAGGGTATTCTTTTGTTTTTGAAAAATTACACAAATGAATTTTTTAAATATCTCTCGCGACATTAATATACACATTTCCAGACATTTGTAAACACTTCTGTATATGCGAGTTGATATACCTCAAATAACTTAAAATGAGATTTTTCGAAAAAATATTTTTGCAAAGAGCTTCTAATTTCGCATTTTCAGCTTTCACGTTTAAACGCCATTTTTGTATAAACGGTTCCAATTTTTCAATGAAAATTGTCTCTTAGGACAAGGTTTTACTCTTCTTTAATATTAATAAAATATTTCGGTTCTACTATTAGGAAATAATACTTTCGACGGCGATAGATGACAGCTGTCAAGAGGATGGAGCCAGACCGTAAATCCACTTCACACTAAGAAAATTAGAAAACTTTATTTCACGAAAGTCAGGGCCATTCTGAAGCACCACTATTTTTTTCTTAATTTGGCAACTGGATTTATCCACTTTTTCGTAATCAGGGCCTAGCAGTTAATTATTTTCTGCAAAAATTCTTCGTTTTTTGCAGAGCATTTCATAACTTCCTCTATATTACGTAGAAGAATATTACTCCGTGTATTCTTATGTATACGTGAAAGTAAAAAGAACTGTTTGCTACACGAGCAGAAAACATTTTCATTAAAATATTCACTTATGCAATGCTTTAATTGACAAATTTCCCACCTAATACGGTTGTTCAACGACAATTTGCAACACATGTCACTGTCTGCATTGAAGGTTAATATGCATTTGTGATATCTCCTGTGAATTTCTTTGCAGGTAGCACTCCACGGGGTGGCGGACTTCCCCCAACTAGACTTCGTCCATTCCTTCCTGGTGCCCTTTGAGAGCGTCACGCACGTCACAGTATTTCCATCCGAGGTAACAAACAAGCAGACCTTTAGCTCGACAACTAACAAGTGGTACTACAACAGCACATTCATTCGGTGTACATGTATACACCGGATGAGGTGGTGCAGGGCTCCACCTCCGTTCTCCACAAGTCATGGGTTTCATTTGCTTTAGTGGAGACTTAATAAATAAGTCCTCATCATAACAAATAAGGCTAAATGAATTTATTTTACTTCTTGACCTAAAAAAAGCAACAACGAACTATATCCTTATTCCATCTTGCAGCGACACAAACTGCTCTTAGCAAAAGATACCTTTTGTCTTCAGATTCTGGCAGATGCGAGCATGAGAGACCGATTTTCCATAGAACAGCGCCAATGCTACTTCCCTGGAGAACGACCCCTACGCTTCTTTCTGCAATACACGCAGTCCAACTGCAGGCTGGAGTGCCTTGCCAACTTCACTTTGAAAAAGTGCGGATGCGTTCCATTTTACATGCCTCGTAAGTAATTCTTCGTAAAATAGTACTTTCAACGCTTTGTGACACTGATGTTCTTTCAAGAATGTTGTTGAATAAACAACCTAAATTGTGTGAAATAAAATTTAGAAATTTTCTTCAAATTCATTCGTCGGTCCAAATAGTGATAAACCATTATTTCAAGTCACGCATTTTTGTACATTTCGTTTACACTTATAATAACGAATTTCACTTCGTATAGAACAGATTCTTTATACAAATTTATAATATGTAGTTGTTTCCGGACAGCGGTCGATATTTTTGGTAGGTTTAAACAGTTGAGCCAAAGTCCGCTGCGTTCTGTGAAATATTAATATTTCGGCAGCCTGATGCACAGATCGACAGCTGATCATGTCGAAAAGCGTCAGTTTAATGCGTGCATTTGGATGATAGGGAGAGTTTTCCATTCATAGTTATTTACTTAATTGTATATATTGCAACCGAACACGCGATCATCCGTGGCATGAGTGGCACCACACAACTCTTAACCGATCGGACTTGTTGAACCCTACGCCGCACTACTGCGTGGGTGATTGACGGCAAAATGTCAAAATGTCCGTCCGTCTGTGAACAACGATAGCGGCGAAACCGTTCAGCCGTTTTTCCTACAAAATGACACTTCTCAATTGATCTGACTGAAGTCGCGTCCTCATGAATTTGAAACCGAAATTTTAATTTTGGAAGGTACGTTCAATGAAGCCCTTGGGACATTTTCAAAATAATGGCAGCAAATGTTTGATCAAATTTTGTTTTAGGATAGTATGAAGGGCCTTTAAGAGAATAGCTCAGATCGTATTTTCGTTGAAATATAACATTTGGTGAAATTCTCAAAGTCTTCATTTGGCGGAATCTCAATAATGGAGAACACCACAGACCCAGCAAAAGTTTGAAAACGTATGCGAAATGAGTGCGAATAATTTCTACAAGTTACACACTGATCAAGCTCTTCTCCCAAATTAGATCGATGTGAATGTGTGTCAAAATAATTGATCACATGGCTGAACCAACTACATATTATATTGTATTATTTTTCAAAAAGTCATTTGCACAACTTTAAAGCTTTAACAAATAAATTAAAGAAAATGAATACAGGGAAATGGATTAATTATATTTGCATTTGGTTTACCTACGTACTTTTCTTTCGAAAACAAATGATACAATAATTATAAAAATTTCAAATTGTGGTACTTTCGTGTTTAAGAAATTTTTAAAATAGCCACAATCTATGTTCAACAGTTCAAAATTTAGAGCATTATTTGCTATAATACATACGTTAATTCATAAATTAGCATAATGCATTTTAAAAGAAAGAAGTAACTGATTTTATGGAAAACTTTTTAAAAATAACAATTAATTTGTATACTTATTTTCAGGAGAACTCGAAACTCAGATCTGCACATATTTCAAAATTTTTTGCAGTTTGGATGCAGAACGTAAGTTAACAAAATTTTGAAATTATTCTTGCAAAACCCAATTCAATGTTGATTGTTTGATTGGTGATTCCCAGCGCTTCAAATGCTGAAAGGGATTGTTCCCGTAAGTGTGGTGCATGATTTTTAATTGGGTGAGATGAGGGGTGATTTTCCTCTGCTGGATGACGAGATCCGGGGCTGACCTACGTCGGCTTACGGAGATTCTTCCCTCACCGCCTTAAGCGTGACAATCTTTGAGCTCCTAAGTGGTCTTTCGACATATATAGTAGTGTAGAGCGTGATGCGAGTGTAAGTAAGGGTGTGAGGATAGAACAAGGATGAGGAAGGAAAGATCGCGCGCAGTCCGGGGTCTCTGTGTTAGTGTACTGCTCGGGTGTTCGCCTGATGTTGACCGGAGAAACCACGGAAAACTACCGATCAAAGTAGCCAGCCGCTACAATTCTCCTCCAGACAGCGCAACGGATGAACTCGACCTAGCTATCTAGCTAGTGTCCAAAATCCTACCAGCGTCGGGACTCGAACCTTAGTTAATTCAATGTAAATGTTAAGAATGAAACGAAAGAAATCGTTCTCACCCAACATTTTTTATTTACTGTTTTTAAAGGTCACATGAACTGGGAGATCATTAGCGACAAAATGATTAGTAACAGAACGAAGTAAAGTATACACAAAATTATACAAATAAATAATTTTATAAATTAGAGAACACAACCTGAAAGCTTCGCTCATTGATTTTCCGATTCTATCACACAATTTTTATTTGTAAGTGAACCATCTTGTGAGGAAGTACATCTTCTTAGGTCAAGGGATAATGTTCCTGTAGTTTCTCCTTTGGTAGTTGAATAATTATTTCCCTTATAAGTTTTTCCACGTTAGTAGATTCTTGGTCAGGTTGTTCCTTCCTCAAAGTTTGCTTTCCTTTTTTTTCTTTCCTTCAGCTTCCTTTCTGGCATCAGCTTTTTATCTGAAGGGCTTTGAGTTCCTGGGGAAGGCTTAGATTTTAAGCATTCCCCCTTTTTTTGCTTCATAATTTTTTATCGTTCTAATTGTCTTCTTTATGTGTTCTTCTTTAAAATACCTTCTTTTTCCCCTCATTCCTCTTCTAACACCATTTTCTTTTCATATCTACTTGGCGTACCTATAATAAACATATAACTATAGCCAGAAATTGTATTGTATTAAACATTTTATTATGCAGAGGGAACATTTCTAGGAATCAATGTGAAAAGAAATTTTAATAAAATAGATTATCGTTCTTTGCTGAACTAAACCAATAGTTTTGTGTTACTCTCAGACATGTTGTAGAGCATAAGGATCATGTTACCGTATTGAAGGATAAATTAAGAAAATAATTGAAGTGTCATGGCTTTAGTAATTCGAGTTTCTGGATGGTCTTTGATAAGGACTCATTAATTCCGTAAATGAAAAGCATGTTTTATGGCGGGAGGTGGCAGTAATCTTTTTTTTCATTCGTGGAAAAGTCTTGTTAAACACCACTCGTGCGTTGTAAATTGTCAGATAAATTGCCTCGTCAATACACGACACGGAAATTTCCTGGTACCAATGCACGTGTGGTATCACCTATAATAAAGGAATTCTTCAATAAAATGTTTTCAGAGGAACTGGAGCAGCTCGAGACAGGATTACTGAACTCTTCCGAATCGACGTGTTCCTGTTTGCAGAGCTGTGTGTACGTTCAGTACGATAGCCAAAGATCTCAAACTCGACGTGATAGAGAAAAAGTGTTAAAACTCCTACGACGAAAGTACGTATTGCAAATGTAATTTCACGAAATCCCTTTAATGCGTTACACTCTTATATGGGGGAGTAGTTCTTACTACACTAACCTTATATACTAAACTTACAATCTATACTTAGTTTGAGACTAAGAGCGACGAAGACAGAAATGGCTGCACACAATAATGGAGGAAACTACAACAAAGTGTATTTTGTCACAGTCAATATTTTTTTTATTTATTAAAGTTTTCAAATTCTTTAAGGAAATTATTGGTTTTTTTCACTTGCACATTACAACACATTTATATACACTTTGATTTTGTATTTTTCATTACATTAAAGCTTTTTCATTCAAAAAGAAGCGAGCAACTTCTTAGCGTTACAAGAATTCCTTGTATTAATCTTATAGTTGTATTTTACAAGATATCAGAAATGCATAAATAAATGTCTTACCTATACTATTGGGTTGGCCAAGGAAAATTTTGATATGTAATGGTCAAAATATCTTAATCTTTTTCAGCCTTTTAATTAGACATTCCATTTCATCTTTTATAATGTACATTGTCATATTACATTATTAAGATCCTGATTATAGCATCAGCACGGAATGTTGGATCAGATGTCAATTTAACTCTCAATAATGAATTTAAACTGTAATTCCCAGCTCTACATCACCCTTGAAGAAACGTCTCTCTCAATAGATTTACCATGAAACCAAGGTCTCTCTGCTTCTTTCTAAAACTATGCCAAATATTCCTTGCCTTTGGTGTTAAATGCTTGCTTAATACTTTTAATTTCCTTCCTAACAATACCCTTAAAAGTATTATGTAAGTCAGTACGAGTTATTTTTAGTTTTGAAGGTATATTAGATGCAGCATTTTTTGCCAAAATGTCATCCATTTCATTTCCAATAATTATTTTGTATGGAGGTATGAATATAATAATAACCTTAAAGTTATTATCTGCATGCAATGCCTATAACTTCTTTCTAATGTCCAACAAATAATAGTTATACCTTATATTTACTTTCTTTTTTTCTAAAGTTAATAGCATACTAAGGGAATCACTGTAAATATCAATATCCCTCTGTATCTGTCTCTTTCAAAGCTATGTCAATTGCGCCTCTAATGGCTATGCATTCTCCTGTAAAAATTGGTGTATATGGATTCCTCTTTCTAATTACATGAATATTATATTTACCAGTACCAGAGGAATCAACATACTCTGACATTCTAAATTGATAGTAATTTTCTTGAAAATGTTTTCTTACTTTATCTCAGTCTGTTTTCTTTGCATGGATTTTAAATGTTTTCTTGTGTTAATACATTTTTTCCTCATTCGCATTTATACATACTGAGAAGTGGCCTCATCCCCAGTTTTCATTTTCTACTTTCACTTGGATTAGATGGGCAATATAAGTTTTTAGAAAATACTAAATCAATGTTAGATTTATCTCTTGTAGTGAAGTCTACATAATTTTGGGTACTAGAATTACGCAGAAACAGATAATGTGTGTTAACACTATTGTTCAACATGTTTTATTAAGACGGCAGTCCCATAACTTATTATGCGCATTAAAGTCTCCCATCATTATTCTTTTACTTGTTTAGATAAACATTTCCCATTATTGAGTCCCAACCTTCCTGATTTAAATTATATTTTGGAAGTTCATAACAAGCAATGATATTCAGGTTCTCTTTCATATTAGTGATATTAATTCCACATAGTTCACACGAATTGTATGGGCATTAAATAGTTTATCTCTACAAAAGCGATATTTTTCTTCACAATGAAGATTATTCTTCCACCTCTTTGTTGAACCCTATATTTTCTTAGTATTACAAAGCCTGGAAAGTCGATAGTACTCTCACTTCCATATTATAAAATCCAAGTTTCAATGCAAATAATAATGCCTAAATTTTCTAAGATCTTCTTCAGTTCCTCTATTCTTCTGAGGTTACTTCTAGTATTCCAAAATAACATTCTTAAGTCCCTGCTTGTAAAATTATGTTGACTTGGTCTTCTAGTCATAACTAGTTTTTACACACGTAACATTAACATCAGACGCCAGGAACACGAACGTGCCAGTGTTTAAATGACATTTACTGTCAGGAAACTATCGTGATACAGTGTAATTGCTGCATGCCCGCATTGTGTATGCAAAATTGAATGAGGAGTTATGTTCTACAAAAAGCATTGTTTGAGACGAGCCTCACACGTCGTTCTGGAAGTTGGCGCTTCTATCGAGGCAGTGAGTGTTCCTTCTTTGTCAGATATTCCAAGAGGGTTGTTTATGGTGAATTAGCAACTGTAATAGTAATTATGTCAGATTTTTTACCACCTGCAGAAATTTTAAATCATTCTGATCTCTGTTACATAATTTTTTAAGTAGATCATTTTGAATTGTCGTCGCAACTACAGAAACAAAAATGTGACATCTTCATCAGGCACAGTTCAGGATCACGTTACATGTTGTTCCAATGGTGCTCCGCATGTAACCCATTCTTCAATTCCGCTTCAGGTGCTGGAAATAATGTCGTCTGCGATTGCTGTCTATTTTGCAATACCTCAAGTAACTCTTCTAGTACCTGCTACTGTTGCTCATGTTTTTTGACGCTTCAACTGTATTTGTAGTAACTGCATCTGTTGTTCCTGCTGCTGTATTTGTTTGCTGCATTGGCATAATCATTTGAGCCACCTGTTCGTTGGTAGTGTAGGTGTTTATTTCTTGTCGTGTACCGGAGAAAAAATTCAAACTCATCGCCAACCCGTCTTCTTCCAGAGGATGTACCGAGGTGCGACCATGTCGTGCTAAAGTCCAAAACATGTGCTAAGACGCGCCAAAATTGTCGTGGTCCCGTAGAAACGCCGTGTTGAGCCGAAGCTTTCCTATTGCAGTGCATAGTTTGTAGTCATCTCGTATTTCCACCACATTTTCTTACCTGAGAACTCTTGTGCCATTTTGGCTTTTGAAAGATTGTGCATGAGTGCAATTGTGCATTCTTGAATGATCTGCATTTTTAGAACAGAATCCCCAAGGAATTTTTTATCACTGACATTGTACTTTTGCTATGTTAATTTTTTGCAATTTTCGAATATTCAGTGACTTGAAGGGAAATGCAACCTACACTTTTATTAAGAGTCTTTTGCTCTATTCGAGGAAAACATCATTAAAAATTAGATAGTTCTGAAAAGTTTGAAACTGTTGATTTTTAAACTTTTAAAGCTAAAAGTCAAAATATATCTTCTTGTTGAGCCTGATAGATTGGGGTACGTCGATTTTGGAGAAAATTGACTAAAAGTATTAGGCCTTAGCGCTGCACACCGTAGGACAGACGGAAGGGGAAATAGTAGCAACAGAGTTACATTTTAGTACACGAGTATTCGTATACTAGTAGATTAGTATATGAAGCAGTAAAAACTGTTTCAAACGTTTTGCAAGAATTCCTGAATCTTCTTGCCTCATCACGAATACAAAATTATATGGTATTCGAACCTTCGTAGGTGGATCAGGAATGTTTGAATATAATATAAATGACGTAATATCTGTTCTAATGAAATTATGAAAATGTTAGAAGTAAAGTAACAGTGGCAATGGCAATTACAATAATAACTTATTATTAGTGACAATAATAACAAATTGCATGGATGACAATATTTATTTTGTTACTTCTAATTAAGAATTTTCACTATCTAGCGTTACATCTGTAAATGGAGCAGTTATATACATTTCCTTTAAGAACACAGACTACGTCCCGCAACGCCGAACAGAGCTTTACACATTAAACGACATGATTGGTAAGTTACAGTCACAAAAATTATTAACACATTTTTACAATATTACGTTGTTTCTCAGATTTAAACGGTAGCACAAATGATATTTCAAAACATAAACTATCCGGAAACTGTCTTAACATTAAATATTCTCTGAATGAATGCACGTGTGGTCTTGCTGGAGATAATATTTTAGAACAAATCTTAAAAGTCAATGCTAAAACTAATGTTTCTTTTTGTGTTCTAGCCAATTGTGGCGGATTGCTAGGGCTCTGCCTGGGTATGAGTGTACTCAGCATCGTCGAACTTTTTTATTGGCTTCTATTGAGATCATGGTGGCACCCAAGAGGTGTTAGAATCTCTCCCCCAGCCCCAAGAATTGTGTACCCTCATCTAACCTTTTTTCAGAATTATTATCAGAACTAAGCACTTTCAAGAGGAATCAAATATTTCACAATAACATAAATTTAAACGTTGAGCAAGATTTTTTCAATAACAGAAGTGAGGTATCACATTCTTAATATAAAAACATAGGAGAATGAGAATTATAGCCATTATTTTGCATTTTAGTGAACTTATTATAGAATAATCCAGACACCCATAACAAAGGCTAGAGAATTAACACTT